TTTTTTTTTTTAATGCAGAAAACCAGTGGGAATAATAATACTATTTGATAAGTGCGTCAAGAATATTTCTTAGCACGAGTCAGGTACAGGTGTCCAACTGTATGAAATCGTTTTTTTTGAGAATCCTTTGTCTGAATTTTGGCTAAGTTTTGTTTACTACGAAGCACAGAACTTTCACAAATCTATCCTCAAAATTGAATCTGAAGATAATTCTCTGGTGAAGCAGCAGTGAGTTTGTTTAATTTAAAAGTAAATTAAATGGAATCAAAATAAAATGGATTTCGATCATCCTGCGTGAAAAAATTGCTTTTAAAATTTGGAAGTCCAAACGTAGATGTAAGTGTTTTTCTGAAAGAATTTTTCAGTTTTTATGCAGCATGTATTACATATCGCCGTACTGAGTTCAAAAATGCCCTATTCCAACTGAAAATATTCATATTAAAAATATGTTGAGATATGGCGTTTTTGAATCGGCAGCTGAGATGGGGCATTTTTGAACCGAATTCTGAAATAGGATGTTCTTGGAAAGTTTTCTGAGATAGGGCATTTTCGAACCGGCTGCCGAGATAGGTCGATCTTCCAGTCAGGTGTCGATATTTAAATCGGTGGGTTACATATTTTGAAGAAATAAGAATTTTCGAATGGGTTGTACTGAGGCAACCTCCGCGGTGGACACAGGTGGAAACTTGTGTTTTGATTATTAAAGACAAAAGAAGTTGTATGTGTAAAAAATTCCATAACTCGTGAAAAAATCGGAACTTGTCGAGACCAGAAGCTATTAGATATTCAAAAACGGTCTGAAATGTTTGTTAATTTTCAAAACCATAATTTTAATGATGCAAATATATTAAAAATAGTAGAATGTACTTTATGTCTTCTTGGTTCGAACGCACCAACTACACGAAATCTTCAATAATCAATAATTTTTGGTCAGTCAGAAAGCTCAACTCAAAATTGAGACCATTAAAGCATCTGTGCTTACTAAATGTATCTTAGGTTTAAGGTGCTCAGAATCCTACAACTTTTTAAAACTTATTGCTTTATTTAAAAAATAAGTACAAAGGCAAAATATGTACCTTGAAATTTTTAATTTTTTTCATAAAAAAATTTTTATATATCGTTATGATATGTGTATATCTTTATTGAATTTAATAAAATGCGAAAAATACAGAAGAAAGTTTGTCCTTTATTTTTACTTCAAAAATATGGTCACCGTACCCATACATCTTGGTATGGTCTTATGTACACATCGTCACCTGAAATGCAAAGAGACGTAGCTAACATCATCGTTTAAATGCAAAAAGTCATAACTAATAAAAAATTCAAAATCCACTTTTTGATTTACATATATGTATGTCGCATTTCATCGAATTACAACTCCCCTCATCATTTTATGAAGGAAAAAAAATATTAGTCACGACTTTTTCCATTTCATTTACGATGATGTTACGTCTTTTTGCATTCCAGGTGACGATATATATGTATATGAACTCATGTGTCGGAAGTGTTGTGATGTCACACACCTGAAAATTTATCAACAACAATTTGAACTGCCTCCAACGTACGTGAGAACGTTGCGTGAGCACATGAATATGCGCTCACCTACATAAGTATGTACAAACAATATTCAAATGAATGTCACAATAATGGAGGTAATTGCACTTATTTACATTGTATTGGGCATGTGAGAGCAAATGAATTTTAATTGTTTTATTATATGCGTGTATTTGTGCTTTTGTGTGGTTAAATTTCATATAAATTTCACTTGCATTGTTATTTCCGCCAAGCAATGGTACCTCCATCGTTGTGTCATCCGCATCAAAGGCGTCTAACAAAAGCGATGTTGACGACGATTTTAACCCAGCAGCAATCAGATTCGTCGTCGTCGTCGTCGTCGCCGTCATCGTCGCTGTTGTTACTGCTGCTGTTGCTACAGTTGACATGTCTGCTGATGTCGTTGTCTCATTTATGTTATTTGTACTGACGCTGTCGAATGGGCTGTATTCCCAACTGCTGCTCGCACTGCTGCTATTGTTTCGACTATTGTTGTTGCTGCTGCTACTGCCGCTGGTGCTCTTGTTGTGATGGTTGTTGCCGCTTACATGAACATGTCTGTTGTGACGCATCGCTGACCCGTGGTGGTTGCCGTTGCCGTTGTCGTTGCCTGCGCCTCCACTTCCACTCCCACTCCCCCGAGTTGTGTTGCTGCTGCTGCTGCCGCTGCTGCTAGACTCACGGCTGCTATCAGTGAAAAGTATAGTTTGCAGGTTCTCAGCGGCAGTTTGGGCATTTACGTTTGTTGTTGTTGATGTTGTCGACATAATGCCGCCTTCAACTGTTTCACCGGTATCTCCGACGCCGGCAGCAGTCTGATCGAGCAGTCGCTGATATTTTTTTGACATTATTGCGGGTTTTATTTATACACATATGCTTGTTTGTTTAAATAATTTTTATATTTATGTAGTATACTAGTTACTATATTTGCACTTTGATCGCTACACTGTGAATATGTGATTTTGTGGTGGTGTTGTTGTTGTAGCCGCCCGTTTTATTCACGTATCCAACACACTATGTACTTGTCGCGTGTTAGCTAGTTAAAAATAATACACACAATTGACTTTATTGTTGATTGCGTTTGTTGTTGCTACGCTACGTCTTTGGTTAATTTTCAATTTGCTTTTCGCACTTGAGCTGGCGAATTCTAAAAAAAAAAAAAACCTGTATTACATTTGCATTTCTTTGCTAACTTTAGCGGTAATTTGTGTGTTCTTTTTATGGCAAATAATACTCGCTTAATTGACTACACTGTGGAAAAATGTGGCTTTAGATTCTGCTGTTATGTAGATATAGATATTTTTTACCTCGATTTTAGCACTTCATTCATACATACGTACATATACATACAAATGTATATATACAGATGAGATCAACTAATAAGCAACGAAATTCAAAATGATATTGTTTACAAATTACGTTTATTTATTTACTTTTGGTAATTTTAACTTAAAATATAATTCAATCTATAACAGACCACAGAACCACAATAATAAAGCTTGCACAAATTGCAAACAAAATAATCAAACTTCAAAAATTTTTCTTCAAAATTTCAAAATTTTAAGTTAGAATATTTAAAAAATTTTCGGGTATGCAGTTTTGTAGCCCATTTAATTTTAGACCAATAAATAGAAATATTTTTCATTATTTCTGTTGCTTGAAAAAACACTTTGCTTTTGCTTTAAATATTCTTGAAGAAATAAATATACGAATATTTTTTTCTTGAGAGCTGCAAATTCATTTAAGAAATTTTGATAAAAGAAAATTTCTTTTCAATTTCTTGCGTGTCATTTTGTATGAATTTTTCGTTTTTCTTGAGAACTGGAAACAGTTCTTAATATGGAAGAAAATGCACAACACCCCCAAAAAAAAAAAAAAAAAATCCAACCATACTATAAAATCTTTATTGAAAAAAAGGTCGACAGTTTTTATATTTTGAATATAAGTCTTACTAATGGCACAGTTGAATGTACTTAGTACAGCAGTTACAAAGTTTTTGGTCATAAAATATCGAGTAGCATGTAGAATGGACCTGTAAATAGTAAATATGTTCAGTGAAATTTGGCTCGTGACTGTGAAAAAAGCATAAGAAGTCTTCACGTCTATTACTTTGGATCCGATTAGGTCAAAACAGCAACACTGATAAGAGCTATTGAGCAGCATTTTTCTCTGATTAATATATGCACAAAGATTAGTATCTCAGTGTACTTTGACTAATCCACAAGAAGCAAGATCTTGCTGTTTGCTGCAACTTCCACGAGCTAGACCTTCTAAGCATTCTTTACAAGGTCCTAACGTCGATATTAAGGGACTTATTCCCTTTACGAACTGACTGATTAGTCCTTATATGTATGCCGCCAGACCAGGAAAGCCAAAACAAGTCAAAATTTTTGAGGTGAATGCAAATACACTGTCCCTTATTTGACGAGGTTTTTCAATGGTATATCTGTTTTTGTTTGATCTTTCTAATATTTGGTAAAAATAGCAACAGAAGTAAGCGCAGGAGTTTAGTTGATTAGTGAAGTGGGAGACAAGATTCTCACATTTTGCCAAATCTTGTATAAGATTTTAAATAAGAAAATTGATCCCCATACACCTTTTTGTCTATTTTAAGGTATTTGGTATCACTCCTGCAGAACTAATATGCCGCAGTTTTGTGACCTTGACGAGGTACTTCCGGTCTTAATTACGAAGGATATTCTCCTAGCAGTTCGTGTGATTTCTTGGTTGGTCTAGCGGTGAACGAAAGCAAGGCGAAGTATTTCCCTGGCAACACACAAATAGTCTTCGCGTGGTGTGGCACATGTCACTGTAGGCAGTTAAAATTTGGAAGCAGTGAAGCAATTTATCTACCTAGGATTCAGAAATAACACCAACAATAATGACAGATTGAGATCAAGCGAAAAATAAATTTTGTCAACAGGTTTTAATTTGTGTTTGAGAGGAGTCTCTCGCGTCGCGACGACCAGAAAATCATGTTCTACAAATATCTAATCATACCAGTCCTTTTAAATGGCACATCCACTCAGTCGAACACAAACCAGAAGGCTTTATGGGCTGTCGAGAGAACTTTTCTACGCCATATAAACATACTTATGGCCCTCTTCGTGTGGGCGACGAGTAGCCAAGAACATGGAATGCCGAACTTTCGAGTTTTTTAACGACAGGAACATAGCTAAGCGCTCTGGTGAAAAGATATCTTGAATCGAAATGAAATGAAAAACTCTTTTTATAACATACCTAAAAGAAGTGCGGATCTTGAGTGAAATTTAGCATGTCGTAAGCCATTCTCATACAGCGTTCTCACATCCAGTTTATAGGTTCTTACCTTGTAAACTTTTTTTTAGATATCGAGCTATGGTATATTTGAGATAAAAAATGCTTATGTACTAACTATCTTAATGTATGTATTTATGTATACAGCACTAACATTTCCATATCTATAACGATTTTACAAACATATTGTAAAAGCGGGCCATAATTTGATTTTTATGAGCCATTAAAACGATAAAAATGAGCTTAATTTGGTCTGCGGCAGGTACTTAGTAAAGGCGTTTTTTTTTTAATAAGTTGAAAATATACAATAGCGTGGGCCGAAAATCTGATTTTTTTTAGAATTTTGATTGGTAATACCAAAAGAATGGTTCACTATGCTCTAAAAACAATCTGTGGGAAATATGACAAAAGTTCAATATGGCCAAAAAAATAAAAATTAATAAATAAATTAAGTAATAAATTTTTGTTTACTAAAATTGCAATAATCTTCTTAAGTATTAGTCCTACATAATTTGGTATTTGGACCTTTTTTGTAGAGAATCGAAGCTAGCTAAAAAAAAATTTTAGTACTTGAACTTTGGTGGACATTGGCGAGCGTTGGATATTGATCAAAAATTTTCACATTTCACACAGATTTATTTTAGAGCATAATGAACCATATTTTTGCTATTACCAATCAAAATTCTAAAAAAAGCGGATTTTCGGCCCATGCTAATACACAACATTTGTTAAAATCAATTAATGAGGTGTCTGAACATTGTCGGGCTTAGGGCCGGTTGTTCAATAGGGTGGTCCAATATAAGTAAAGCCGGAATTTTAATGCTCTCACCCCTAGGATTGTTCTATACCCGAGCGCACTTGCGCACAAGGGTAAATATTATAACTTTGTTCACATAACGGTTGTTTGTAACAGCAATGCTTACAAAACGAATGGTGTAAAAATATTTTGATTATTTTTTACCAATTAGAAAGGGGTAAATAAAAGCGTTTGCCAGAAAACCCGCAGAAAAAGTGGTGCAAGATGTTTAATTTTTGCATCCCTGTGTAATCGAAGACAGTGAAATACGAAAGAGGAGTTAATGCGCTAGGGGGTGCTGGTGTCGAGATATTTGGAATATTCGTATTTGTGGTCCAATTTGTTTCATATTTAGAACGTATACTACTTAAATACGGAGAAAAAACTCCACAAAAAATTAGCCGTTAGGCGGTGCGGTTGTCGATTTTTCTTTTTTTTTATTAACCGCTAATAAAAAGTTTTCTTTAATTTTTATATTATTATTTTTAATTGCTTGGTAAATTCATATATTTGTAGCGAGTTTTTCTTTAATTTTTATACGTATATATTTGCATTCCACATTTCATTTGTTTCATTTTCACATATACCTGTGTTTTTTGACCTTTTTGCTTATTACATAAATATTAAAATTTGTTTATTTTCCATTTATATTACATTGCATTTATTATTTGTCATTCAACTCACACTCTGCACGCACAAAAATCAGAAAAACAAATAAACTAAACAACAACAAATAACAAAATTCACTTCTTCCGGCACTGATCACTTTTCTTTATTTTTCCGATACAGCAACCACTCATTTTCAATCCCGTTTATTCACCATACGAATTACGCATTCAAAGTTCCGTTAGCGACGTACAATCGATCGCACCGCTACGTTGCATTGTGTGTACTGAGTGAGCAAATGGGCGGATTGGGCGCTCAACGATCACCGCAAGCCTTGCGTATTGCATTGTTGTCATTGTTAGTGTAGCGGCGATAAGCTGCATCACTCCACAAATCACCCAAACGCCCATAACTAGCAAGAAATTTACGCTCATCCATATGCACTCTTTAACACTCACTCGCTCTCACAGTACCAGTTCCACTTGTTGAGTAAATATGTCGGGATCAAACACCTCACTTATATCCATAGTATTTTGGTTTCCCACTCAGTGCACTATTCATATATATAAGTATTCAATTAGTATGTGAATTTAAATATGCTAGTCAGTGTTGCCAGAAGTCAAGATTTATCGTCAAAATAAAGACATTTTTCATAAATAATTAGAAAAATGTTCACATGAAGATAATTACTACAAAATAAAACTCCATACAAAAATCTTCGCAGTGAACATATCTGCCAGCGCTTGAAGATTTATTTTTTTTGGGATGGTTGCACGACATTTAGATATTAATATTGATTTTTATGAATATTTTAAATTGATTTCTCCTGTAAAAATTCGCGCTCAAACTTGGCTTTGTGCAGCTCACACTCGGCTTTATGGGTTTCCACAAGGTAAAAAGTATGGATCCATATTTATTAAAACCAAAAGGTAAGTAATTTTGGTTTTTAAATTAAAACTAACAATTTAAATTCTAACTTTATAGAAACATCAATATCATCATCCAATAGCGAGGATGAATGCGCAGATCCGGAGCGAGTTTTTTCCCAAATAAACTTGAACAAAAAAAAGAAAAATCGTAATAAGCACAAAATTATACAAATGATTATTTAAACAGGTTTCAGTAACCTTGTTATGTTTTTTTTTTAAGATTTTATCATGACTGGGATGCTTTTTAACAAAATTCTTCTGGCAACATTGATGTTAGTATATATTTATTTGCTAGATATTGCTAATGAGTTTATGAGCAATGCGTCCCACTGATAAGCCGCAAGCGTATTTGGTTGTTGATGGAGCTATATAAGCATTTATACATATGTATGTATGTACATAAATAAGTACACACATACGCAAATATTACTGCTCTGTTTACGTTGTATGAAGTGGTTTTGATGTTCGACGAGTATAACCACATTTTCGTGCTATCACTGGTTGTTGTTGTAGTTGCTGTTATATGAAATTCATGCGGCCTAGTGAATTAATTTTATGTTACTGGTGTTTTGCACTTGTGTGTTTGATAAGCCGGACTTGA